CTCCCTTCGTCTTTTCGCTGAGCCTCTTCCTCTCTCCCCCATTCACTCCCTGATTCCCGCTGCCCTGTCTGTGGGTTCATGTCAGTCTCTTTTGTAGTCAGCCCCCCAACCCCAGCTTTCTCTCTCTGTCTTTGTTTTTCACTGTCTAACTTCCCCAGGCTGGGTTTATTATTTTATTTTTAATTTTTGGTCTTTTTGAGACAGGGTCTCGCTATGCAGTTCAGGCTGGTTTTGAGCTCACTTTGTAGACCAGGCAGGTTTCAAATTTGCAACGATCCTCCCGCCTCAGCCTCTGGAGTGCTGGGATTACAGGCATGCGCCACCACGCCCGACCCCAGGCTGGGTTTAAAACTGTGATCCTCCTGCCTCAGCCTCCCAGAAAGCTGGGATTATAGGCATGCACTAACCATCATGTCCTGCTCTTTTTTCACTTTATTTTTGCAGTATGGAGCCCAGGGCCTGAGAGATGCTGGGCAGATGCTGGGCAGGTGTTCTACTGACCGCCCCCCTCCAGCCCCAGCCTGCTCACATACATTAGCATCCTCTCCTCCTGCCCATCTGAGCTGCTCCTGCATCCACTGCCGCTTCCCAGCACCCGCTGCAGACGTCACTTCCGCTTCCGGGTCCAGGTCTTCTAGAGTACAGGTCTGCGTAGACTCCACTGGCTCTCTGCTACCTACAAGGCAATGTCTGCCTCCCTACTCAGGCACATCACTGACATGCCCTGGTGTCGCCTTCTTCCCAGGCTTTCTTCCCCCTCTGTCTACAAGCTCCTGGGATCCCAGAGACAAAGAATCTCACTGTGATTTCCAAAGCATGAAGCTCACTCAAGCATCGTAACCCTCTCTGCCTCCCTGCACTTTAACCACTTAGCAAACCCTCCCCTCTCGCTTCCGTGTGCTTTGGTCTGTCTTTTCCGTTGTGGAAAGGTCTTCGGGTTTCACAAGCATGGTGCTCTGCTCCCTCTTCTGCACTCCCTTGGCATTGCTGACTTCCAGCTTCTGGTCCCTCTAGAATTTAGCCTTTTGTCTGCAAGGAGAAGCGGTTTGGAGGAATGGGTGGATCTGGGTTTTAAACCCCAGCTCTGCCACCTGCTGGCAGGCTGGTTTCTTTGCTTCTAAACCTGTAGTCCTCTCAGCCCTGTGGTACTTTGGGAAGATGGCGGATGAGGCTTTGAGGCTCCTGGTAAAACAGTTTCTGGCTTTTTTCTTCATGGGCAGACTTTCTGAATAAGCTGACAGGTGCTCACACTTCATCTCCTGAAATTCACTTTGCACTCCGTCATTCTCCTGGAAACACAACCAGTCACCTCGTCACTGTCAAATCTTGCCGTGATTTTTCTGTGTCATGAAGTATCATCTACTTCCCCTCCTTTTAAAAAACTTTTCAATCTGCCTGTAATCCCAGCACTTGGGGAGCTGAGTTTCAGGTGGCCCGTCCTTACCGGGCTCCATTTTTTTCCATTCGTGCCTAAGCCTACCCTTAGGTACCCTCAGCCGCTGAGGCAGCAAGATCTCCTTAGCCCTCAGATTCCTACTGAAGTCACTAAAAGATGTGTAAATAGCAGCAAACCATATCATCACAGGAAGTCCACAATGGATATGTCATATACTGACAACCTAGAGAAAGTTTGCTCGCTGCAGAATTATACTAAAAGGCTTGGCCTGAAAAGCCGCCGGGGCAGAGTCAGGACAGCACCTGCTGGGGGAAGCCTCCCTGCCTGTCAGGCCACTGCTGCCTTGAACTCGAACTCGGAGACAGAAAGATTCTGGAAGGAGGAAGGAGGGTGGGTGGAACGGCCTGCCGGAAGTCCCACCACACGGGGCCTCCCTGTCTGTGTGCGCCTCCGGCTCAGGGCTCCACGTCAGTGTGAGGAAGAGCTGACGTCTGCTGTCATCTGAAATGGGCTCATCAAACAGCTGTGGGCGCTGCCTGGAGGGAGAGCTCTTTCCAGGCAGCAGCCATGACACTCAGCAGTGAAGCCCCTGTCTGTGCTCTGGCTTAGGGTCCCTCTGCCTGGGCCCAGGGCTCTCAGAAAGGGCTGTTCCCAGCACAGAGCCTCTGCATCCAGTTTACGTCAGCTGGCTGCGACCTCATAGGCCTTTGCCTGCTTTCCCTGGCTCCTCCGCCCCTGTTTGGTTTCCTATCTTGCTTCCGGGCATCCTTTCACTTCCAAAGCTCTGTTTCCGTTGTCCCTTGGACACTTTTGAATCGTTCTCTAGTCCGTGCCCAACACCACCCAGCCCCGCCATTTCAGTGGCGCACATAGCAATGTGGTATCCGTCGCGGGACCCGCTGACAAATTGTTTTTATTCCATCATCAAAATAAAACCTCTGATTCCATTCGATGGTCACTTCTGCCACATGCATACCACTATCTGGTCCTGGATCGACTCATTTCTTTCTCTTAGTTTTTGCTTCAAGCTACAGCAGCAAAGACTCACCCAAGACCATACTGCCCATGGGCACTAGAGCAGGATTCTCTGAAGGCTGCCCCAGGTTTTCCATCTTAACTGCCCGGTGCGTTTCAGTCCCAAGAGCTCCATGTGCCTTAGTTGGGAGAGATTCCACATCTTGTAGACAGGGCCACTGAGAAAACGCATGCACACCCTGATGGCTTGTGTCTAGATGGTCCCCTGCCCCAAGCCTCATGCAGTCTTGGGTGGGGCTTCTTCCGAGGTGTCCGGTTGTACAGTGTGTGACACTGGGATTGACTCATGGTGCAGTGCTAGGTTCAAGGGCACTCGGATTAAGGCTGTGTTATCCACCTTAAGAAACCTGGTTAAGATATAAGGATCAGAAAGACACTGTTAAGGTCCCTTGTTGCTTCTGTTACCTTCTGCTTACCATGAACTGTTGCCCTTCTGCTATGTGCCATCTTGCCTTGGAGCCAACCAATTATGGACTGAAACCTCTATGAGCTATAAGCCAAACAAACCTTTCCTCCTTTAAGTTTGTGGGGTTTTTTGGTGTCAGGAATCAAACTCAGGACCTTGTGCTTGCCAGGCATGTGCTGTGCCATTGAGCTATATCCCTGGCCCTTTTCTTTAACTTTGGATGTTGGGTATTTTATCTCAGCAGCATAAAAAGAAACTAAGACACACACCTTGCTGCTGGGCCTAACTAAAGTCACATTCAGCTAGCTCATCCCATCTTGTCCCATGAGCTACAGGCAGTAAGCGTGTACACGACAGGGTTATCAGTAGTCTGCACCTGGGCAGCCTCCGACACATATTCTTCTCGGGGGTACATACTTCCCAGCAGGGTATGGGTGAGGTCCCAGAACTCACCACCTATCAGCTAGATCTCTTTTCAGTTCTGCTTCCTAATATTGCATAGACACTAATGCTCAAACTGTACCGTTACATGAGGCAAAGAGCTTGGTCATATTAGCGAGACCCTGCCCCAGGCTGGGTACCAGGACTGAGCTTCTATGTGCTGCTTCCCAATTGCTTCCAAAGGGTGAGAAAGCTTGTTTTCTCTTTTTCTTTTGGAACATCTGTTATTTATGAATTTCCTTTTTCAACCAGATACCCAGTTCCATGCTGATATTCTAGGATCATGTTATTCACAGGTTTTGCAGAAAGAAATAGACTTCATTGGTTTCTTAAAGCACCACTGGACTTTGGTTCCCAGGAAATGGTGGGTCTGCGTCAGGAGGTGACAGCAGAGCTCTTGTGTAGGCCTGGGATTTCTGTCCACGCGTGGACCAGGGCATGTCTCCTCATTTTGCAGTGGTCTTGTTCAACTGGCATTTGATTGGGTGCGAACAGATTCTCACAGTGTATTGGCCTGGGCCCCAGCAGGAGAGAGATGGTATACTTAAAGTAGGATAACTGGAGGGGGCTTTGCGTACAAAGAGACCGTTAAAAGGGCCGGGCATGGTGGCGCATGCCTGTAACCCCAGCACTTGGGAGGCTGAGGCAGGAGGATCGTTGCGAGTTCGAGGCCAGCCTGGGCTACAAAGTGAGCTCAAGGCCACCCTGAACTGTATAGCAAGACCGTGTCTCAAAATACCAAAAAAAAAAAAAAAAAAAAAGAAAAAGACCGTTACAAAGATGTGTGCAAGGGGTCACAGAACCCAGGAGGAAGGGTACTGAATGAAGCTCAGGCTTGAAGCAGGGAACAGTTACTATTCCTAGGCTGAAGGGATGGGATGCAGGAGAACCCAGCAGGAGCGAGACAAAACCTCCCTCCTCTGCTTGCGGACGTCAGTTTTCCCCCACTCTGGTGTCCCACGGGGTCCCCCTGGCAGAACCCAACTTGAGAAGCCAGAGTGCATGGAGTTCATTGGCGCTGACCGCCTGGGTTGGGGTGCCGGAGCACAGAGCGGGGGGAGCAGCAAACCAAAGATCTGGTACCTGCGGAAGTCTAGGGCTGAAAGTAAGTCCTTCCTGGGGGTGGGGTGTGGGTGGAAAGGAGGAGCAGGAAGCGAGTCAGAGGAGTCAGGGAGTTAGCATTTTCAAAGTTCTTAGAAAGCGCCCAGCACATGAAAGAGCTATATAAGTGTTGGTGAAGTCAGACTTGAATAGCGGCACTTGGTGGATATCCTCAGGCCTGCCCCCAAGGGATTCTTGGGGTTGGTGGTATTTTCTTTCCTCTCAATGCACGCCTGACTGTTAAAGGTTATGGACTTGTGTGGTTTTTGGAGCGGGATGGCCAAATGGCCTCTAAAAACAGGCTCTTCTGAACACAGCGGCTCAGCAGTACCTGTCCTTTTATGAAAGGAAAAGAGTTATCCCTGATCTGCCCCATCATTCACTTCTAGGGTAGCAAGGATTTTGCTGGCCCAGGCTGAGTTAGGCCTCTGACCTGCAGTACCTGGGCAGGTTTCTGTCTGGTTTCTTGGGCACGGCTGGGAAACCGCTAAGCTTCCCCTAGATGAAGAATTTTCTTCACTGACTAAGACCAAGTTGTGCCTTCTCCAGGTAATCTAGATTCTGTGATTCATACAGATGGGATGCAGTGACTCTTGTGTTTTAATTTTCGGCTCTCATCAGGAGGAACCTACAGCCTTTCGTTAAGACAAGAAGTTTCTGTGCGCGACATGCCAGGCTGTTCAAGAAGATCCTGTTGGGCCTCTTGTGTTTGGGTGAGATAATGAGGATTTATGGAAGTGAGAAACACCATCCTTTTGGAATGTCACCTTGTGTCATGATGATTACTGGGTGAAAAGCAATCTTATTCACAAAGTGACCTAGAGGCTATTTGATGTATGGGTCCTAACTCCTTGCAGGCAAACCATAATTTATTCAATTGCACCTGCAGGAACAAGTAAAATTTGACAATAAAATAGTTTTCAAAACTGTGTCATTTGACAGACTTAAAATATTTCAGAGAAGATAGGCTTGTTTCCTCCCTTTTAGTGTCTTGATTTCACACAGAGCATAGTTTCCCGTAGTCTTTATGAGAGAAGCCCGTGGTATACATGATGTATTTACTGGTTTACAAGTAAAGTCACTGATATAAAATATTTTTAAAAGACAGAAAATCTCTGTTTAAAATAAACTGTCAAGGCCGGGCATGGTGGCACACGCCTGTAACCCCAGCACTCGGGAGGCTGAGGCAGGAGGATCGTTGTGAGTTTGAGGCCAGCCTAGGCTATGAGGTGAGCTCAAGGCCAGCCTGAACTGCATAGCGAGACCCTGTCTCAAAAAGACAAAAATAAAATAAAACAAACTGTCAGTGATGGACTTCTTTTTTAATGTATGGGGTATTGATGTCAGCATTAGAAGCAGCTGGGATGGTGACAGCACAAATTATATTTTAGGATGGCTAAGGAAGGGCGAGGGCCATGTGCTGTGCTTCCTTGTGGGAGCCTTGTTTATATGATTTCTCTTACTGCTGTTTGGGGTGGGGAGGATCCAACCCAGGGCCTCACACACACCAGGCACGGGCTCTGCCAGCCCTATGTTTACAGGGCTTTGCCAAGGGGAACGTTTCACCTTTTAACGTGTTAACAAGACTGGGGTGACACAGTTTCAATGATAGATAAATGGCTTTTGAAGAGTCTATCGGTGGATGCTCGTGGATCCTATTCCAAGAGATGCAGAGAGGGTATCAGATAAGAGCGAGGTGTGGCCAGGGGCCAGGGCACAGAGGCCATCTTCAGAATACACTGGAGTGGCCTTGGGGGTCTGCGAGGGGTGCAGGGAGGCCTCTCCTGGTGGGTGGGGCCTCTGCAGCGTTTCTTGCTAGACGCCGTGAGCGCTCCAGGCAGGACCCGCGGCGGCCCTCGGAGGCTCTGCTCGCTGACCCTCTGCACCTCCTCTTTTTAGCGTACACTGCCTACTTCCTGGCAGCTTGCATCCTGGATTTCCAGAGGGCACTGGCCTTGTTCGTCCTCACCTGCTTGGCGATCTTTGTCCTGGCTCAGCACTTTCTGAAAAAGCTCCTCGGTAAAAAATTAACCAGATGTCTGGAGCCCTTGAAAAGATCTCGCCTGCGAGTTTGGATGAAGTGGTAAGAGAAGAACCTCAGCATCCCTGGCCCCATGACTTACCCCGAACCCCGGTCTGCTTCTCCTTTTTCTCTTCCAACCGTTCCTGAAGGTGCTTCTTTGCCCTCACCTAGGCTGTGCAAAAGCGAAGGGCAGAAGGCAAGTAGCAGCGCCTCGCCTCTGCGTGCCGGCCCTCAGCCCAGCATTTTTTTTTTTTTCTGGACCAAAATAGTTCTTTTATTGAAAAGCAATAAAAATAGCTGCAGGCCAGGCATGGTGGTACACACCTGTAATCCCAGCTTTTAGGAGGCTGAGACAAGAGGATCCTGAGTTTAAGGCCAACCTCAGCTACACAGCAAGTTCGAGGGCAGCCTGGACTACGTAGCGAGACAGTCTCATCAGCCCAGTCGTATAGCCTCGGATCTCAACAGGCCAGGGCGCAAGAAAGGCTCGGTTTTGGAGAACAGTTTCAGTCTGTTTAAAGTCAGGCCAGTGTCAGAAATGAGAAAAACCATGCTTGCCTCCAGCGCTGTAATCCCAGCGCAGGGGCTGGCAGCTGCGTTGTTATCCGGTCATTTTGGTGGTCATCTGCTCTCCCTTAGATCTCTGCTATTTTTATGCTTTCCCCTACCTCGTCCTCCAGAGTTTCTCCACCTGCGGATGTCTTGGGGTTTAAGGAGAAGCTTACTGTTCAGTATTCACTAAAATTGGATTCCAAGCAGCTCATCGGTCATGCACATGTCCTTTCACACAGGTGGGGTGAGAGAGTAACTTGGATTTTCCACCTAGCTCCTCTTTTAGCCCACTGTCCGGTGGACCCACAGATAGTAGGTGTTAAGGACGTTTGCAACCCAGGATAAGCTGGAGAAATTGCACCACCTGGGGCTGGGGATTTAGCTCAGCGGCAAAGCGCCTGCCTGGCAAGCGCAAGGTCGTGAGTTCGGTTCCTAGTACCGGAGAAAAACCAAAAAAAAAAAAAAAAAGAAATTGCACCACTTAAATTTTAGTCATTGATTTATTAGACACTGGGGAGATAGAGCTGCAAGGACTTTACTCATTAAGAAGACAGATTCTCAAAGCCGGATTTTCTTCACTTTAGTAAAATAGGTTTCCAGTGAGGAGAGCTCTGCACTTTCAAGCATGACCTGTGAGTGGCTTTTGTTGTTTTGTTCCGGAGGTGTCACGATTGAACAGGGTGCTCTTTTGTTTTGTTTTCATCGGAGATTTTTTTTTTTCTTTGTCTTTTTGAGACAGGGTCTTGCTATGCAGTGCAGGCTGGCCTTGAGCTCACTTTGGAGCTGGTCTCAAACTCGCAATGATCCTCCTGCCTCAGCCTCCCGAGTGCTGGGGTTACAATGTGCACCACCACGCCCGGCTCCCTCCTAATTTTTTTCCCTTGGACTTGAAGGACTGTAGCGCTCAGATGAAGAAATCAGTTGTGTTTCATACCCCAAAAGACCATGAGAGCATGAGTAGTTGATCTGTAGCTAAGCCTTTTCTTTTGCCCTTTGAATGGTTAGAGATTGGGAGGAGATTCATGAATTCAGCCCACACTTGTCCTCCTGGGGTTTTGTAGTATCTTGATTATTTGTTGGAGCAAGCTTTGAGAATGAGTCTTTGTGTTACATTTGATTGATGCAAAAACTTAAGGAAAAGAAAGTCACGTGATTTGTGTCCTCAGATTAGAAGCTTTGACTTCATTCTGTGAGTAGAGGCGTTGGGAGGGAAGGCAGGAAAGGGAGGGAACTACTAAATGAATGGTTTAGCACCATAATCAAGACATAATCCTCTGTCTGCTCAGGAATAAGTGACTGAGTTATGTCACTTGTCCTTGGAGTGAACTTCTATATTTAGAGGTAATTATTTACCATTCATTCACTGAGTCCATGATGTGATCGGATATCAGGAATCGAACCCAGGACCTTGCACTTGCCAGGCAGGTGCTTGTGCCACTGAGCTATACCCGCAGCCCCATGTGGTGATCTTGGCTGTCCTTTTACAGGTTGTTCGCAGGTGCTTCTCTGGTCGGCCTTATCCTGTGGCTGGCTCTGGATACGGCCCAAAGGCCGGAGCAGCTCATCTCCTTTGCAGGAATCTGCATGTTTCTCCTCATCCTCTTTGCCTGCTCCAAACACCACAGCGCAGTGAGTCGTGGGTGTGTGGGCTGGGCACAGCAAGGGTCAGGTACCAAGGACACGGTATGATGTGTGGTCACAGACACAGTGTGAGTTCAAATAAATATGCGTTACAGTGAAGGACACATTGCCATTAATCCGCCTCAAAACACTTCCACTTATTTTGAGCACACTATCCCCTTGCTTTTGCTGTTCTCTGAAGCAGTTCTAGAAGTTCTCTTTTGTGTCTGTAGTTGCACTGCTGAGACTGCCTTGATGTTCAAAATTGATTAAAAACATTTCCCTTTCATGGTCCTTCTGGCACTGGGGAAAAGCTAGAAGTCACATGGTGCCAGAGCCGGTGAATAAGCTGGAGGAGGACACACTGTCATATTTTTATGAGCCTGCTTTTCCGCTGGTGGCACTCTGTAGCAGCACTGTTCTTCCTTGCACCTGGGGAAGACACCCATGAAAGAAGACTTCCAGACCTGCTTCAGAAAGTGACAAGAATGGTGGGATAATCACGTTGGAAGTGAGGCTGGGCATTTTGAGGGAGCTCACGGCAATGTGTCTTTTACTATAACACCTTGTTTTTGATCACTTCTGGTGCATGTGTCAAGTATTCTTTACAAGGGTGTAGAACTATGTTTGGTTTTGTTTTTTGTTTTTAACAACTCCTGGAAGTTGCCTTTTAAAGAGCTTTGTTTCTAAGTGAAGTTTTAAAGCTCTCGGAGGTCATGGGTGGCTTACCTTCCAATGCTAGGTTGCAATCTATTAGTGAGTCTTGGTACAGGTTTTGTGGGTGTAGGCCAGCAATACAGAATAAAGGCGAAAAAAGAAAGAAGGAAGGAAAGGAAGAAAATAGGATACAGTAGAGGATAGGGTTGCACTGCACACAATAATATTGAAGTATTGACTCACGAAACTTGTTTACACGGGGATATACGTATGTATGGACTGTGTCATCTAACTTCTAGCTACATTTTAAAAGCCGTGTGGACGTTTGTGTCTGTTTATTTATTCCTACCTTGTTTTCCTCACTGTCCCAGCTCTGCTCCCTACATCATCTCTCTCTAGATGTGCTGTTCACGTCCTAGGTTGGCTCTGCCCTGCGTCCATGTATCCATTTTAAAACTTGAGCCAGGCAAAGGTCAACAACTCGCATTAGAATACTCTTCTTATTGCTCCTAGGTGTCTTGGAGGACGGTGTTTTGGGGCCTGGGTCTTCAGTTTATCTTTGGGATCTTGGTCCTCAGAACCGATCCTGGATTCATCGCTTTTCAGTGGCTGGGAGGACAGGTTCAGGTATGGGAAATTAAATGTGAGGGCTTTGTCCTTTTAGAGCCCTGGAGAAGGGAGATTTGAGGGAGGTGTGAGAAGATTAGGCTGCGCTGTGCTAATGAGGGTGGCGGTGGGGAAGGGCGGAGAGTAATGGGATACAAATAAGAATATGAACAGGGCCGGGGATGTAGCTCAGTGGCACAAGCACCTGCCTGGCAAGCGCAAGGTCCTGAGTTCAATTCCCGGAAAAAAAAAAAAAAAAAAAAAAAAGAATATGAACAAAAAGCGAAGAGAGACTCCTGGGGTCGTATCCTGGCTGCAGGCCATCAGAGGGAGGCCACGCTCGGGAATGGCAGCAGGTCCTCATGACACATGAGGTGGGCCCCATCTTCCCCCAAGCTTCACGCTTATTCTCTGTGCTTTCTCCTTTCAGATTTTCCTGGACTACACTGTGGCTGGCTCCAGTTTTGTCTTTGGAGATACACTGGTCAAAGATGTCTTTGCTTTTCAGGTCATTAACTATTTTATGGGCGGGGATGACGGTCAGTGGAGGGGCAAGGGAGGAGACAGTGAAAATATGTGTATAATTTCACCCTAAGAAAGAGGGTGAACTCATCAATAAAGGAAACAGTATCTATCTTTTGCTCTTTAATCCTATTCTGAAATTGGATAAAATAGGGATGGGCAAGAAGGTCTCAAAAAAATCTCTTTGCCGGGTGTGGTGATGCACGCCTGTAATCTCAGCACTCAGGAGGCTGAGGCAGGAGGATCGTTGTGAGTTTGAGACCAGCCTGGGCTACAAAGTGAGCTCAAGGCCAACCTGAACTGCACAGAGAGACCCAGTCTTAAAAAGAGACAAAAAAAAAAATCTCTTTGTGGTTTAGTATCAATGTAATAGTAGATTTGCAATGCATTTAAAATTTATTCTTGGGTTGGGTGTGGTGGCACACACCTGTCATCCCAGCACTGGGAAGGCTGAGGCGGGAGGAACGTTGTGGGTTTGAGGCCAGCCTGGGCTACAAAGTGAGCTCAAGACCAGCCTGAACTGCATAACAAAACCCTGTCTCAAAAAGACAAAAAAAAAAAATTTATTCTTGAGCACATCACATCAGATGCTCTTGGATGCTGAGAGCTTAATTTAGAGGAGGGATTCACAGTTTACTCACAGTAGACTGTACATACAGTGTATTCTTACCACCTACTCACCATTCTCGTTACAGTCCTTACCAATCATCATTTTCTTTGGGAGTGTGATGTCCATTTTATACTACCTGGGGCTCGTGCAGTGGGTAGTTCAGAAGGTGAGTCATGTACCTACTCCAGGCAGGAGATGGGCCTTCATCTTTGGGTCTGTTAAGGGCATGGAGATGACAGTTTGGAACTGCTCCTATGTAGGATATAGAGAGTTAGAGCCAACATGCAAAGGCAAACCCTTCCCAGTACGCCTGATTTCAAACGGCATGTTAGTCAGATTTCTCCTGCTGGGACAAAGTATCTGAGGAAGTCGGTTGAAAAGAAGGAATGGTTCAACTCGGCTCACGGTTTCTGAGGGTTCAGTCCAGGGCAGGCTGGCACCACTGTTTTGTTTTGTTTGGGGCCTGTGATGAGGCAGAACATCATGGTAGACCGTGTGGTGCAGCAAAGCTGCTTGTGTCATGGTGGCCAAGGAGCAAAGAGAGAGAGAGGACGGGGTGAGAGTCCCAGTGTCCCCTTGAAGGCCACTCCCTCAATGACCTAACTTCCTTCTGCTAGCCCCACCTCCCATAGTGCCACGCTGGCGACCAAGCCTTCAACACATGGGCTTTTGGAGACATTGCAGCTCTAAACTATAGCCAGGGGTGGCCCAGGCCCCGGATAGGCAGAGAAGCTGGGCTCAGCCACCCCTTTGTTTTGAGTTCCAACATACTTGCTCTGCAGGCAAGAGGCCTCATTTCTGGTCGAGGCTGTGCGGATAACTCATCCTGTGGCCTCAGGCCCACTGCCTCCCAGGCCTCAGTTTTCTTGTCAATAGGATGGAAAAGGAGGGGTTTTGCTGGACATTCTTTGAGGTTCCTGCTCATGCAGATGGTGCAGATGTCTGTATCCTTCTAGATCGCCTGGTTCTTGCAAATCACCATGGGCACCACTGCCACAGAGACCCTGGCTGTGACAGGAAACATCTTTGTGGGGATGGTAAGCATCCTGCGGCTTTCGGTCTTGTCTTCTCTGGGGAACTGAGAACTTGGCAGTAAACAGGTTTAGAAAAGTGTGCTTCCTTATGAAAGGCAAATAAAGACTATGGGGCCGTGAGACTGCAAAGCCCTGATGGAATAATACTCAGAAACCCTAACCCATAAACCCACCCATATATCCTCACCCTTCATCCCTAATAGTATTTTCAGGGGCACACTTAACCTGAATGGATGACCCTGGCCATAGACTCAACTTCGGGCACAGGAATTCAGGATCTTCTGGTCTAAATCTTATTTCCCTTTAGGATCTACTAGGGTGTTTGACCTATTTTTGGTTTTTTCCAGTGATTCCCTATGATCCTTATTTTCAGGGTCTCTAAGGAGGCGATAGCCTGTCTTGCTCAGTACGAAGACCAGACTCTTTCCCAAAATCCTTGGCTTGTCTGTAAGGCATATGTACTGTTATAGGCTATCAGCTGATCAGCTCAGTTAGGGATGCTGGCATGTCAGACTGACAAAGAGTTAGTACGGAGGTCTTTCTGTCCCAAGGCTCTAGGCTGGTACTTGCTTCTGATATGTTCTCAGAGTACTCTGGGTACTTCTACTATATAGCCCTCCACATTTTGCTGAAGTGATCCGTAATCAGCTTAGTTTCCCCCGCTAGAGTCTAACTCCTAAGAGCAGGAGCTCCCTAACTCATATCAACATCCCTAGCATCCGGTATAAGACTAGGTATATAGTTGGCACTATAATTAAACGATAACAGTGTGGGTTGATGTAGGCATAGTTTACAGAGCTGGACCTTCATAAATTCATAACATTTTCGCAAACATTTCTCTTGATTATTTCGTGAGGATTTCGCTTAGGTCAGGTCTTTGTAATTCATTTAATGAATACTTTGAAAGCATCTAATGTGTCCTCAGTGAGTGTGTTTTATGAGTTTATTCAGTACGTGCATGGATTTAGACCCTGAGAATGTGTAAAGGAAACATGTTACGTACCTTCCATCACAGTTTAAGCCATGAGACAGACACACACAAAAGCAGCCAGGGCACGGTCGGGCGTCAGAGGAAGCAAAGCAGACACTGGGAAGACCCGAGGGCAGAGCTTGGGGCCCACGCACCAGCGCTGGGTCTCACTGAGTCTCCGCTGCAGGGGTGAGATTTGGACCAGGACAGCATTCACACTGGAGGGATAAATGTCTAATGGGTCCAGTCCCTGGGCTGGCGAGGGGGTGGGGGGGGGATGACGCTGGCACAGGAGTCACACCCTCTTGGAATCTGTTTCTCCTTGTTTATAGACAGAGGCACCTCTGCTCATCCGCCCCTACCTTGCAGACATGACCCTGTCTGAGATCCACGCCGTGATGACTGGAGGGTTTGCCACCATCGCAGGCTCTGTGCTGGGAGCCTTCATATCCTTTGGGGTAGGCGCAGTCTGATGACCTTTCCCAGTGACCCGGGCTGGGTTCTGCAGAGATGCTCATCCCTGGCCTGGCCCTGCAGATTGACGCGCCATCCTTGATCTCGGCCTCTGTGATGGCCGCGCCTTGTGCCCTGGCCTTGTCCAAGCTGGTGTACCCGGAAGTGGAGGAGTCCAAGTTCAAGAGCAAGGAGGGGTTAAAACTGCCGCGTGGGTGAGTCTCAGGGGGCGCTTCACAGGCAGGCTCAAGAGTGGCCCTGTGGTGGCGGAGACATCATCTCCCTGTGGGAAGAACCTGACCCAGGTCCTGTCTTGCCCCAGGTCCTGATTTTCTTTTGTGGCTGGGTCCCCCACCTGCCACTGTCTGCACACCACCATTTCTTGTCCTTGGTATCAGCGCCATTTTATGACAATTATGTCTGATACTGCTTCTGAGTAATTTCCATGACTAGGGTCACTGAGGAACTGTGGACGACCACCTAGGTGACTCTCCTTGAAAGAGGAGCAATTGCCTCCATTTTGGCTGAGCCTAACTTTATTTCCATGTATTGATATGTACAGAGCTGGCTAGGACCCTTTCCTTTTCCCTTCAATTGGCTTAAAGCAATGTATATCAGTCTAGCCGAGGTGCTGATGGTAATCTTTGGAGAGGCGTGTTTCCCTAGCCAACCTTCCACCTCCTCTCCCCCCGTTGTTCCCACGAGTGAGCTGGGATGAGGCGGGGTGTGTGAGCCAACGCTCCAAGCTGTAGGCTGGGATCGAGCCACAGGATAGAGGCTATGACTTTTTGGGGCTTAAAAGATTACACATCAGATCTAAAACATGGAACCCAAAACATTAGATACTATCTCAGTTGTGTTATGCACATTACTCTTTTTGCAGATCCTTCTCTCTGCATTTGCAGAGGTGACTTTTAAGCCTCCTACCTAGCCCGGCTCACAGCACTCACCTGCTTTTCAGGGTTCTCACAGTCACTCGTCCTCAGGCCGCTCCCTTCTTCATAAATAAATAAAACGCGGGTTTAGTTTTGGGTCGAGGCCTTTGTTTTGGATGGCCATCACTGTGGGTGGACTTAGGACCCCTTGGTTCCTCATAACTGTAAATACGCCTTAGAGTTTGCCATGCTTTGTACTAAAAGTGGTAGATTAAAATTAACCCACTAGGATTACAAATATAAACTCTTTGGGCCAAGACGAGGACTGGGAAGGGCTCTCTCTAAGGAGCGTCATTTCCTTTCACCCTGGCCTGGTCTCCACCTCCTGCCCTGTAGGAATGGTGGACATTCTCTTCGTTGAGGTGCTGAGACTGCTCTAGATACCATACCTTTTCCCTGTGCCCACTAACCGCAGGAAGGAGAAGAACATTCTGGAAGCTGCCGGCAGTGGAGCCACAGATGCCATAGGTCTTGTCGCTAACATAGCCGCCAACCTGATCGCCTTTCTGGCCATTTTGGCCTTCGTCAATGCTGTCCTGTCCTGGATGGGGCAGATGGTGGACATACACGGGCTCACTTTCCAGGTAAAGGGTTAAGTGTGCTGGGCCGCCCTGCTGTGGTTAAGAGTCCTTGACCTGGGCGTGTCCTCCTCAGAGTAAGCGAAAAGAGAGCGTGTCAGGAGCAGGGGAAAGACCAGGCCGAGGCTCCAGAGAAGGCTCCTGGCGTGAGTGTTGCGATCCGTTCCGGGCCTCCCTGGGTCGCTCTCTTTCATTCAGGTCATCTGCTCCTACGTGCTCAGGCCCATGGTTTTCATGATGGGTGTAGACTGGGCAGACTGTCCCATTGTGGCTGAGGTGGTCGGAGTCAAGTTCTTCATCAACGAGTTTGTGGCCTACGAGCAGCTGTCCCAGTACAAGAACAAACGTCTCTCTGGAGTGGAAGAGTGGCTCGCGGGCGAGAAGCAGTGGATTTCTGTAAGTGACAATCCCGGGAAGCACACACAGCTCAAGAGCTCGGCTGTGGATGTTTGACGGTAGTCGGAAAGTGAGACGCAAAAGTTGGCAGCTGAACCGCAGATACTTTCCAGTGGTGCAGGCCTAACCACGAAGCAAGCAGAACCATATGTGCGGCAGCCTCTTCTTCACTCGCTCTGCTGCTCTGAGGTCTGTGTGCTGTTTCTCCCCAGTTCTCTGACCCACTTTCTGCCTGCAGTGTAAGTGTTGGGTCCTTACTGTGTCCAGGAAAGACACTCTTTTATAAGCCATCTATAAGTTGCTGTGACTTGATCTCCTTTTTCTCTCCGTCTCTCTAGCTCTTCCTTCTCCTCTCTCACTCTCATGCCTTCACTTTACAGTGACACCAGCGTTGGGTGGAGCTGGTGACGGTTTCCGTCCCATCGTCCCCACAGTAACTCAGGAAGCGGTTGTTTTCTGAGCCCCCTTTGTACACAGGAGGCTCTGAGTACCCTGGGACTTTCATTACGAGCACGAGACTGCACACATGGGATTGAATCGATCTATTTATTTATGTTCATTTTCCCTAGGTGAAAGCTGAAATCATTGCAACATTTTCTCTCTGTGGATTCGCCAATCTCAGTTCCATAGGAATCACACTGGGAGGCCTGAGTGAGTTGCTAATTTTCTCCAGTTTCCTGACAAATCCGCCAGACCCCAGCTTCTGTAGTGGGAAGTTCTGGGAGCTCAGCACACACAGAAGCTGATGTGACGGGCCCTCTCAGGCTGCAGTTAACTCAGAACTAAAGCAATCGAGCTGCTTGGCTAGGGAGTAAGCCCTTTGTAATCTCAACTTCAGTTGCTGTTTTCCTATTGTTGTCAAAGTTCCCCAAGCAACAAAAATTTTTTTTTGTACCAGGAATTGAACTCAGGGTCTTGCTCTTGCCAGGCAGGCGCTTGTGCTGCTGAGCTATATCTCCTGCCCCGAAATTTAAAAAAAAATTTCATTCTGCTCTGAAGGAGAAAATGTTATAGTGTTTGTTTCACCTTTAAATGGTCCTAGTGCCTATATAAGTGGGTTTTTTTTATTATTCAATTTTATTCTGAAATCAAGGTGATTACTAGTTGTCTTTACAGAAACAGGACTTTTTTTTCTTTTTGAGACAAGGAATCAAAAGCACAAATGAGCTGAGAGTAATCCTGTATTCCCAGCACTGTAATCCTAGCATTCTGGGAGGCCGAGGCCAGATCATCACAAATTTGAGTTCAGCCTGGACAAGCTGTGATTTAAGTGAGACCCTGTCTCAAAATAAAGAAATTAAAAAGGGCTGGGGATGTAGACAGTCCTGGGTTCAATCCCTGCTCTCTCTCTCTCTCTGTCACACACACACACACACACACACACACACACACAGATAAGTGAAAGCAGCAGACACACAAGACAGATCCAACAAGGCAAAGTGTTGGATCAAATGCTAAAAGTCCCCAGTGTGGGAGGAGTGAGTCTGAGACGCAGACATCAATCTACTTAGGCTGCTGGAGATAGGGCTAAAGGCGGGTGATGGTTGGCGGGAGAGCAGGAGCAAGGTGGGCTGGTCCTGGTGGGCAGGGGCAGGGGCATGGCCAGCAGATCCTGGTTAGAAATGGATCTTAGAGCAAATAAAGCTCGGTGCATGACAAAAGCATCATTTTCATGGAAATCTTTTTCTGTGGTAGAGTCATTCAATTTATTTATTTGATGCTGAGTGAAAAACTTGAAGGTGAAATAATTTCCTTCTGATTCATCGTTTCCCTTCTGTTCAATACCTGTCTGTATGGTTCTAACTCAGATGCCTGGTGATTGGTTATAAGAAGGTCAGCTAATAGCGGGATATGCGTTGTCTGGTGAAGACTTAGGTCAGTGCTGTCTGCTTTAGTCCTTTGGCTCAAGATGGTCCATCTAACTTTTTTTCTTTTTGAGACAGGTTCTCACTATGCAGTCCAGGCTGGCCTTGAGCTCACTTTGTAGCCCAGGCTGGTCTCGAACTTGCAACGATCCTCCTGCCTCAGCCTCCCAAGTGCTGGGATTACAGGTGTGCACCACCATGCCTGGCTCAGGTCCATTTAATTTTGGCTCAGGCTTAAGAGTGCAAACCTCAGTTGGCGGCTGTCAGGCATTTGTACCCACCTGGAGCAACTCCCTGCCTTGCGTGACCCGGACACAGCTTAGAAATGGTCACAGAGCCTCTGTAGTGAGAGTCAGATGTAGCATCCTTGTCAGGGGAAGCCTGAGCAGCGATCCCTCAGGACCAAAGCCTGCGCACACCTAGGCTGACGCTGGCCAGGCATAGGTGGTCGGCGGTGGGGATGCTCTTCCTCTGCTACACTTCGCTCCTCTGCATCCTTCTAAATGGGAGCTCATGGCATGGAAGTGACATCAGGGTGAAAATGAGACCAAATTACTTTGTTTTGTTGTCCACAGCACCAATGGTACCCCACCGGAAGAACGACTTGTCCAAGGTTGTGATCAGGGCCCTCTTCACGGGGGCCTGCGTGTCCTTTATCAGTGCCTGCATGGCAGGTAGGTGCCTCAGGGTGGTCTCCCAGGGAAAATCACGTCCCTGGCCCCTGGGATGATGGCTGTCAGAGTACTGATTCCACTGTCCACCCCATGGACGTGTAGAAAAGGGATCTCATGTACAGGGTCCTCAATTGAGAACTAGTACAACCCTATGGAAATCAGTACGGAGATTCCTCAAAAATTAAAACTAGAAATTCCTTTTGCCCCAGCCGTTCCCCTTCTAGATACTTCCCTGTGATGAGTTAAAGTCATCACATGGCCACGATCCCTGCACACCCATGTTGATAGCAGCACAACTCATAACAGCGAAACCTTGGGAGCCAGTATAGCTATAACAGATGAATGGATACAGAAAATACTGTATTCACACACAGCGGAGCACTACTCTGTCATAATGTAGGATACATTTGAGTCATTTTTAGGAAAACTGATGCACCTTGAGACCATAATGTTAAGTGAGATAAATCAGACAAGCTTAAGTATCACATAGTTTCTCTTATATGAGAAACACATAGTATAAATAAATTAACGAGCAAAATAAAAGCTAAGTAACAGGAAACAGGGAGCTAGGTCCTTGGAAATGGGAAGGGGATGAAGGGATGGAGGGAAGGAGGGATGGGGTGGGGATGAACCAAGACTTAAGCTGTGTTATGTCCGTGGACCAACCCCACGGGGAATGCAATCATTGTGTACGGCAATCATGGACAAATAAGAATAAGGACTAGTAATAAAAAAGAACGGGGATAAGGAGCCTCTAAGCAGGTGCGTCAAACCTCCCCCTTAGCATCTGTGTCTCCTTCGTCCAGGAATTCTCTACGTGCCCAGGGGAGCCGAAGCGGACTGTGTCTCCTTCCTAAGCACAAGTTTCTCCAACAGAACCTACGAGACCTTCGTGTGCTGCCGAGAGCTCTTCCAGAGGTGAGCGAGCACAGGACCCCCCTCTTCCACGCTGTCCTCCACGAAAAGCTCCTGGGGGTAGGAGAAAGGAGGCCTGGAGGGCGTCCTGTGTGAGAGGAGGCGTGCATGTGGCTGACAGAGATCTGGGTTCTTTCCTTGTCAGGGGCACCTTTGCTATTGGCTCCTCTGAGCCCAGGGGCCGGGTTCTCTCTGTATTGGTGAGGTGCTGAGGAGGAGCGGGGCAGGGAAAGAAAATAAAAGAAGTGGTTTCTCTGACGAGAAGTTAGTGTTTTTATTACAATTGGGATATAGATAGAGTGAAGGTGAAGATTTAGCAACAGTCCCCAGTGGTGAAAAAATTATGGGCTTCATCACACAGAATGAATATTCCTGAGAGAAGACAAAGTTAAATTTACAAAATCAGGATGCAGTCACAGAGTGTAAACAGGAGCTTATTTATCAGTGTCTAGCGTATGCAAAGAACCTATCGTTAAACCAGGAAAACTAGTTTGGAGACACACAAAAGGAAGGGCTTAAGGCCTTGGTGGGTCTGGTACCGCGGAAGCAGAAGGCGTATGCTGCTGGTGACCCGTGGGTGAGAGGGGAGGTTTAGGTATGGGGCTGGGAGACCACAGCAGGCTGTGTAGGAAGTGCTAAGCAACATGGGCTTTGACCTGAAGGATTCTGAACACTGGTGAGATCAGCTGTGCTTTTAGAAGAGACTCTTCTGGTAGCCACTGGGTACCGGGGAGCTGGGTGAGCACACTGCTGTGACAGGGTTAGCGAGAGACGGCAAGAGCCGAGGCCAAGCGGCTGTGAGGATGGGCTCCTGGAACCCAACGAGTCAATAGTGTTGGCCGGCACTGCCGGGAGGAAGGGACGGGGTGAGGAGGATAAAGCACCGTGACTTCTGCCTTGGGCGAGTGAGTCTAAAAATGCCATTGATTTATGGAGAGGATGTTGGGAAGAATACGGCCTCATTCAGCGTTGGCTATGCTGATTTGGAGCTAGCTGTGGGGCCACCCTGTAAAGCTACTCTCAAGCCCACTGGGGTGTGAAGCTCAGGACAGGATCGGAGCTGGAGGTATCCTTGGACATTATCCCTAGTAAGTGGTCTGTTCACTGGACAGGTGGATGTTCCGGTGCTAGCTGCTTACAGGGCCACTAGGTCAGTGAATGGATGCTATCCAGCCTGCGCTCTGAGTTCATCATCAGATGAAGCCACCAATGTCTGCCATCATTAAAAGCTGAATTGTATCTGAGTAGGTCATTGGCTTGGCATAGCTTTGATCACTGTTCTGATGGCAATCTAGTCACATACTGAGGGTCATCAGCAACTAGACTCTGGAAGGGATGTTTTTGTCCAATTAATTATACTAATTTAGTCTGAGCCGTTTTCCTTTCTCAGAAGGAAAAAGGCCTGGGGCTGTTACCATGCTTTTTGGAATAAATTCAGTTTGAGATCATTGCGAGGCATAAATTTTGCCTCAGGTCTCTAGAAAGGAAAGTTCTAGGTGGACTGTGGCTAGGAACTGGGTGCAGGAGCGGACACACATCGTACAGCGTTCCTGCTGGTGTTACAGCCGGTATGAATGGGGGACAGATTTAATTGGCTCTGATTTATGTAGTCATGGCAGATGGGTGCATTTTTAGGCTCTGGTTTTGCTTCTCACTGCCTGGGAGTAATTACTGATATGTTTTATTGACTTGGTTTTTTTTGTTTTTTTTTTCTGACACACTGACTCTCTGGTTTTTCATTTCAGTACTTCTGTAAACGGTACCAACCCACCTTCTTTTTCTGGTCCCTGGGAAAACAAGGAGTTCAGTGCCGTGGCTCTTGCTAACTGCTGTGAATTCTACACCAACGCTGTCTGTGCCTGAGCCGATCGGTCCATTTCCATGACACTTCTTGACGGCTGCTTTGTGGTCAGAGGCATCTATGCACTCAGGGTTACCATTCTGTACTGAATGTAGGGCCGGGGATACAGCTCAGTGGCACAAGCGCCTGCCTGGCAAGCACAAGGGCCTAAGTTTGATTCCCGGTACAAAAAAAAAATGTAATGGATGCATGAGGATCTGTGATAGTAAAATATTCCTTTTGGTGCACTGTATCCCAAAAATGGAAATCAGCATTTGTCTTTCAATTGTCTGGGTGAACCAAATAGGAAATACTCCCTGCGTTTCTATTTGAAAAAAATAAATGTTACCATATCAAAAAAATCCTGAAAACCTGGCTCCTAGTTGCCATCTTAAAAATATGTGTTGTAGTATGCTATAAAAGAGATTTAGTAGGTGTCGCATCTGGGGACAGAGGTGGAGGGAGCTATATTTCTTGGAGTTTTGTGGATGCACTGGGCTTATATTACTGAAGTTACATATAAAAGGTACATGAATATTTCATGGTAAAAATTTTCCGGTTGTCACATATTTGTAAATCTGCAAACTCCTTGACATCAAAACACAGTAAACAAAAAGTTCTTTTTGTATGCAAACTTCTTAGGAATGTGCATTTGTTAAAGGTTCTTACTTTGTTTTAATTTTCTCCTCCAGCCGTACTTGCTTCGGGTACGGCTGAATACAGAAAACTGTTAAAACAGTGGTTTTCAGTGGGAAGCGGGAAACTGTGCTTCCCAGGGGACATTTGACAGTGGCTGCAGAGAAGAGCGGACGGTAGAACTGGGAGGATGCTACTGACATCTACTGGGAGAGACTGGCATGGCGGCGAAGATTCCTACAAGCCTTGGTCAGCCTTGCACACCAAAGAATTCTCAGGGCCCAAGGTTAATGGTTCTGAGACAATTTAGTGTATTTACTTATTCATGCAATAGTATTTATTATATAAATAAAAATGGACATATGGGTCCATCCTAAAAAGTTACACAGAATTATCATCTGGCCCAACAATTCCATTCCTGCATATATATTCAAAATAATTGAAAACAGGTATGCAAACAAGTACATGTGCAAACGTATTCATAGAACATTATCACAACAGTCAGAAAGTGGGAGTAGTCCAATGCTCAGCAACAGATGAATTGGTAAACAAATTGTGGTATCTACAAACAAGGGAATTTTATCTATTCATCAAAAAGATAAAGCACTGAGACATGCAATATATATATATATATAATTTTCTTTTTGTCTTTTTGAAACAAGTTCTCACTATGCAGTTCAGGCTGGCCTTGGGCTCACTTTGTAGTACAGGTTGGTCTCGAACTCCCAATGATCTTCCTGCCTCAGCCTCCCGAGTACTGGGATTACAGGCATGCACCATCACACGTGGCTCTAGACATGCTATATAGAAGAACTTTAAAAACATTACACTAAGGAGCCAGGATAAAGGCTATTTACACAGTCCAGAATAGGTAAATCCATAGAGACAAAATATACATGGGTGTTTTCCAGGGGTTGGGCAGGGTGCGTGGGGAGTTTAAAGAGTGATTTCTTAATGTGTATGGGGTTTTGCTTTGGGATGGTGATGGGAATATTTTAGAACTAGATAGAAGTGGTGGTTGTGCTGTATTATTGTACTGAATTGTGAACTCTAAAATAATTGATTTTGTATGTGAACTTCAACTCAGTAAAAGGAAAAAATGTTCCTTTAGCTAATCCACCCCATGCAATTTCCCAGTTCTCTGAGCTCAGCCTGTTGGTTTTCTTCTCAAATCTCCATTCCTCTTTTTTTTTCTCCCATGTTTTTCAAATTTGAGTTAAAACAAAAAAAGAAGCTCAAAAAGTTGCTTCTTGAACTGCAGACTGATTCTGCCCTACGCCTGGTTCCTTTCTGAGGCAGCAGGATCCAGTGGGTGGGGGTTGCATTGGCCATTTTCCCATCACTGAGACACAATACCAAATACCCACAACTGAAAAGAGGAGAGGTTTACTTTGGTTCACGGTGTGAGGGAGTTCAGTCCATGGTTAGCTGGCTCCAAGGTAGAAATATGGTGGAAAGGTGTGCAGAGCAAAGATGCTTTAGTCATGGCTGCTGAGAAGCAGATCCAGGTAATAGTGCCAGAGAGTAAGGGACTAAGGACCATGTAGCACCCAAGGTCATGTCTCTACGACACACCCAGAAGGGTGCTTTACTAACCTGCTAGGTATTTCTTAATCCAGTTAACTTGATGTCTTGGTTACTTTTCTCTTGTTGCTGAGACAAAATACTTGACACCCAGAATTAAGGAAGGAAAGGTTTATTTAGCTCATAGTCTGTGGAGGTTTCAGTCCATACTCAGCTGGCTCCAAGGCAGGGTGGCACATGGCAGAGGGCAACCGTTCATGGCAGAAGAAAGCAGCAAAAGCAACAAAAGCAAAAGGGGAGGAGTGGTGGCAAGCAGCCTCTTTCTCTCCCTTACATATGCAAACTATCCGCCCCAAGGCGGTGTAGCACTCACACCCATGAATCAATTATAAATTCTAAAAGCCTGCCCCGTGGCTGCATGTGTCTCTGGGGGGACACCCAGATACAAACCATAACAGTGGACACATCCTGATTAACGGTCACAGTGGTATTGCACACTGGGGCAGATTCCTTGAGTTCTCATACAGGTTGTACCACTTATCACTATAGTGATCCTGGGCAAGTTCCTTAATTCCTCTGTGTTTCGGTATCTTCAGCTGTACACGGGGATGGAGAGACCTACCTTATAGGTATGGGGTGTGAGGCTGTTCGAAGGGTCAGTGCTCAGCATATGCCCAGTGTAAATTTAGCTACTGTCATTAATATTTAAGTAGCTGGGTTCATGGCTATCAATTTGTTGTGAAATCCAGCTCACACGAAGAAGCATGTGGGAAAGAGTGTGCTCCGCATGTCCAGGGCCAGCTTTTAATCCTCAGTTCTCTATTTGAAGTAAATTTGATCTAAACTCTTGCACTTAGAGGGCCCTGTCATAATACGCATGGGAAGTATAACAATCTTAACACCAGCATCTGATAACAGTCTTAAAAGCCAGAGCTAGCCTGATGTGCTGGTGCACATTTATAATTGTAGCACTCCTGAGGCGGAGGCAGGAGGATCGCTGTGGGTTCAAGGCCAGCCTGTGCTACATAGTGAGCTCAGAGCCAGTCTTGAAGACAGCAAAACCTGTCTCAAACAAAACAAAGCAAAACAAAACAACAACAACAAAATGCCACAGCTAACATAAAAATCCCAGCTGATTCCAGTGCTGGGCGGAGAGGCGCTCCTTAGTAGAAGACCCAGGACAGAAGTGACCCATCCTGAAGCGGAGAATCCTGGGATGTGCAGAACTTGGACCAATCACTCTTGGTCTCTGCCCTGGGAGAGGGGTCAGTGTGCCACATCTGTGGAACAAGTGCACCCCTGGAGGATGCCCGTGCCTTTCCTAGTAGGTCTGCATCCTCGGAGTAGGAGTCTGACACACAGGGAAGGAGACTAAGCAAGGAGCTGGGAAAGAATCCCGACAGAAGACAGCGAGGATCAGGAAACACGAGCGTCGTGGGAAGGGGCTGTGCCGGCCTGGGTTGGCGGTAGTGTGGGAAACGGGCAGTCTGTTGCTTACACGTTCTGCCACAGCGCTCCGCAATCCGCCTTTCTGGTGTAAGGTTTGTGGCTCTCCTTCCAGGCCAGTACACACAAATCACGTTCGTTTTACTGGGTTCATGGTATTCAGACAAAGCTGACCCGCAGTTAACTGTTTCCCTATTGCTGGACACTTAATTTGATGTATTTGGCCAGTTATTTCTAGGGTGTGGGTGTCTAACCTCTTGGCTTGCCTGGGACACACTGAGTCAAGAGTTGTGTTGGACTGCGTATAAGATACATAACGTAGTTAATATAAGTAGCAAAACTTTCTTTTTTTTAAAAAATATTATTATAATGTATAAAAGAGAAGCAACATAAATACAAAGCTAGTGGGATATTTTACCTTGTGTTGTAAAACCAATGCATCTATTTGCTCCTAGACCACCACACAGTTGCTAAAAATCACGTAATAGTATTAAAGGTGTATGATCTTTTTGTTTGCTTGTTTATCTGTTTTGAGACAGGGTCTCACTATGCAGTTCAAACTGGCCTTGAGCTCACTTTGTAGCCTAGGCTGGTCTCGAACTCTCAATGATCCTCCTGCCTCCGCCTCCCGAGTGCTGGGATTACTGGCATGCACCACCACGCCTGGCTAAAGGTGTGTGATCTTATAAGGGCTGCATGACCAGCTGTCAGGGCTTCATGCACCCACAGGTGGGTTCGACATGCATGTTCTAGGACCTAATTAAAGTGGGAAGAGTTTGTGTTTGACTTCTGACACTTTTAGATGCCCAGATCTACCCTTGATGAAAGTCTTAGGTTAAGCTATTGATTATTATCACTGACAAGTAGAGAAATGCAAATTAAAATGACACTGAGAGTCTATGTTACCCCAGAAAGAATGGCTGTTGTCAAGAAATCAAATGCTAGAGAGGCTGGGGGCAGGAAAAGAACCCCTCTACACTTTTGGTGGAAATGTAAATTGGTACAACCACTATAGAAATCAGTATGGAGATTCCTCAGAAATCTAAAACCAGAAATTGTACTTGATCGAGCTATTCCCCTTCCAAGGTATCTTCCTGAAAGAGTTACTATCCTCATATTACAGTGATACATGCATGCCCATGTTTATAGCACAATTTATAGCACAATTCGTAATAGCTGAATCTTGGAAGTGGCTTATGTCCATCAACATACGAATGGATAAAGAAAATGTGGTCTTTCCACAATGGAGTACCACTCTGACACAAAGATAAACTTGAGCCATTTGTAGGAAAATGGATGTACCTTCAGTCTATAATGTTAAGTGAAATAAATCAGACACACAAGATTAAGTATCACATTGTTTCTCTTACATGATAAACCCAGAGCCAAAATAGAGAGCGAAATAAAAGACAGGTGATAAGAAGCAAGGGGACGGATTGTTCTCAGAGAGGAAGGGGATCAAGAGACGGGGGGAGAAGGGAGGGAAGGGAGAAGGGATGATGAAAAGGAATTGGGATGTGCTATGTACACTACCGCCTCCACGGCAGGAATGCAACTTATATCCCGCAAACGTGTACAAACAAAAAAGAAAGAGATCAAGGGCTGTCTGGAGGAGGGAGGACAGGAAAGGAGATTTTTTAAAAAAGGTGTGTTGTGTACATGTATCAGCTTCCCATAGGGAATATCAACATCAGGTACCACACACATGTACTAAGAAACTAAAAAGAGAAAGAAATCAACATCAGGATTTTAATTAATTAATTTT